GGAAGTACAGTAGGAGGGAGTTCCGGGGGAGGAGCTCTCGGCGGTCCGAGAGGAGGCGCGTGTGTGGAAAAAATCTTCCCGGGCGGTACCGGACATTGGCGGCAGTTTCAAAAAATAAACTTTGTTCCTGCTTGAGTGGCTCGTGATTTTGTGCCCAGCCAGACTGCGGCAAGGTATGGTGATGCCAAGTAGACAAATGAAAGAAGTTGAGCCAGAGGCCATAGCAGTGGCAGCACCAGCACCAGCACCAGCAGCAGGAATGATGATAATGGTTCAGAGTGGGCTACCTGGAAGGTGGCAGCTGTAGGAGCTGCGAGACAGTGTCAGTGCCAATGAGGAAATGAGACCTCAGTGTCCTGCCTTCTATAACACGCAGGGCGTGTCAAAGGTAAAATAAGATCTAGTTTCCTAGCTGGTTATGGTGATGCATGCTTATAGTCCCAACTCCTTGGGGAACACTTAAGCAGCCTGGGCAACAAAATGAGGCCAAGTATCAAAAATAGAAAAAAAAAAAAAAAGAATTTTCCTAAAGTGCTGTGTAAACTGTTAAAAGATAATGTTGCAGGAGGTTAAATGGGAAACTCTCTTCATTTTGGTTTCAACTGAGGCCTCAGATGACAGATACTACAGTCCAAAGTAAAATGCAAACTACAAATATTTACAAAAGTGATGGCAGGAACCTGATTTTGCATTCTTAGTTGATCTTCCATTAACCTATATAGAAGATGGTGGGGAGTCCAAGGAAAGGAGAGAGGAGGTGAAGATTCCTTGGACAGAGTTGATGTGCTTTCATTCCCTGTGGTGACCAGACAAGTTAAGGCACAGAGGCAAGAGAAGAACCTGCCCACAGAATAAATTTAAAGGGATGGTAGAACCCCAAAATACCATTTTATGGTTATATTCCATGAATCATATTGACTTAATGAAACATCTATACTATAGGAATGTGATTATGATTCACTTTATCAAGTTACTTGTTAATTACTGTGGCAGAAACTGCTCATTGTTCACAAAAATCTACTCTATTTTTGCCATAGTAATGGTAGTAGAGTAGGGACATGTGGCTGCCTAGCTAGGGATATGTTGCTCAGTTTCTCTTGCAGCTAGGAATAGCATACGATTAAATTCTTACCTATAGAGTGCAACTGGAAGTGAAAAGAGCCTCTTCCAGGCCTGGGCCTTTAAGCATTGCAATGTATTTCTCTATGCTTGTTCCTCTTCCTGTAAACTGCAACACGAGGTGTCTTTGACCTGGCTTTGTCCATATAGATGAGGACGATATCCCAGGCCAGTGCTTCCCAAATTTTACCATGCATAAGGATCACCTAGAGAACTCATCATTAGAACTGATTAAAACAAGGAGCCAGTAGATCTGTAGTTGGCGAATAATTTGCATTTCTATAAGCTCCCAGGCGATGCTGCTGCTGCTGGCCCGATGACCACACTTTGAGTAGCAATTCTGTAGAGCATGGTGGAGATGAAAGATGGAAAGAACCTAGGTTTCTGGATGTGTTTGTGGAAAGAAGAAGCCCATCTACCCATCATGGATTTCTTTGTGAGAGATGAATAAATGCCTAGCACTGTAATTTTGGGGACTCCCTTAGTCATTTACCCTATCCAACATAATCATTTTGATATTCTGCCAATACTTGTCCCATCTCTAAACCAAATATTTCCCACAAATTTATTGTTTTACCTTGAACTCTCCTTTCTGGTGATGGAGAATAAGATTAGCCATTTTCTTTCTTTTCTTTTTTCTTTTTTTTGTGGTGCTGGGAATGGAATCCATTGTGTATGTGAGGCAAGCACTCTATCAACTAAGCTGTATCCCCAGCCCTCTTTCTTTCTTTCTTTTTTTAGTATATTGAACATCTTTCTAATATAAAAATATGAGAAAGCAATTTTGATTCATTGAAAGAGATGCTGAAAGATTCAAGATTAATATCCATTAGCAGCATATAAAACTGAGGAAAAGATCAGTGAATTGTGCTTGTAGAATTCTGCCCTCATGGGAGATGGAAATGTCAAGTCCAAAGCCATCAATGGGAAAGATGAAGAAAGATGGACTCTCAGAGCATGGGTTTCTGGCTAGAAGCTGTTCCTTGCTCACTAGGTCAATTTTTTCTCCCAGCCCTCTCAGGCTGATTCTCTAGGTTAATATGGTGGAGATCATCTTTGCTATAGTAGGGAAAGGAAGCGACAGGCTGAAACCAGGGGCAGTACTGAAAAGCTTCCTGAGTCACACTTGGCCTAGGTTTCTCCAGGGAAGATGGACAGAGGGAAGGGAGGTGCTGGCACCAATTGAGGGCTTGGCACAGGGCTCTGGAAAGTTCAGAGGAGCTGGAGGCCCAGGTGGCAGGACACTCCTGGATAGCAATGAACTCCTATGGCAAAGAGAATCTTCAATGCCCACACAAGGGACAGCAGTCCAACCCTATCATGCCTAAGGAGCTGGAGCCATATGGGGAATGACAAAGACTTGCCCCAACCTGTCTCCCCTATGGGACTGAGCCTCGTTAAGCCCATGGTGGCCATCCTAGTAGAGTGGGGGTTAGGGGAGCCCAGTGTTGGACCAGACACCATGGTAACAGACCCCATCTGGTTTCTGAGGTGAACTGGTTCATCTCCATCCCTCAAAGCTTTTGGACATGCACACTCTAAAGGAGGTCTTGCTGGCTGAGAACTTTGGAAAGACCCCTCTAGTGAGACTGGGCTGGGTAGGGGTGGGAAAAATATCTTTACAGGCTGATCTTGAACAGGGACTTTTGCATGTGAGGCAAATATGGTAATCATTATGCTATGGTGCCTGCTTCCCAGACATTTTCACTAAATAAATTTCGTAAGAGCTCGCATCATGAAAGCTAGGTTCCAGAAGGCCATATTCTGTCAATTTCAGTCCAGACTGGATAACCTTCAAGAAGTTTCTCAGGAAAGGACTTTCCTTAATCATATTTCCAGAGGAGATATGAGAAACTTCGGTGGTGGGGGGAGGTTTGGAGAGAATAGGATTACTGATTGTCTCTATCACTGGCAAAGCCCCATGATGATCCAGCTCTTAAGCATGTTACCTGAGACAGGTGAAGTAAAATAATTTTTTTAATGTTGGAGGCAGATATAGGGGGAAGATTCAGAGCTTTCAGGAACTTTGAGGAATTGGCACAACCAATGGGTACCTTCTGCAGGAGACATGTTCAAAGGCAATTTCACAGCTTAGAGCTGGCCAGGTATTTGGACAAATCCTTGCTTTTGCAGTGTTTTACTGAAACAACCCATATCAGGGGCAAGAGTATGTAAGGGGCTCAGAGGCTGGAGTCAGTTTATGCTGTGGGAAAGAGTTGCAGATAGAGAGCCCATCCCAGACACATGTGGGTGGGTACAGCTGAGATGTCTGCGATGAGTGCAGCACAGTATTATTTTGCCTCATTTTCATGTCAGGAGGACAGTCTAACATCCCTTCCCAAACCCAGGCCAAATTCTACAGCATGGGTGCTGCTTACATCCATGGTATCTGGGCTCATCCTGGCAGACAATGGCTCTCCCCTTCACAATCTCCTCACCAATCTCCTTATCAAAAGACATGCCTTTAGGATCTTTCACAACCTTCTTGGCACAGAGGATGTCATCATCGATGTCTTCATCCACAAATTCTGAAAGAAAAGTGGATGAGTGGGGATGGGAAAATCCTTTTTCTCGTTTTCAATAATTGGTTATTTTGGGGAGAAATTTTCAAGGAAACTGAACCCTGAATTTCAGAAATCCTTTGTATCTGGAGTCCCTTATTGGGTTTGTCTTCTATTTTGCCTGGCTTTGTGCCTTTTCTTTGAATCTGTCTCTGAGTACTAATCCAGGACCTGATGAAATAGGAAATTGTTTTTCAGGAAATTGCTCAGAGTGTCCAGAGTTCTGTGTGTGAGTATGTAGAATGGTGTGGCAGTTCTGTGAGCATCAAGAACAGGATGTCTGTTCTGAAGGATGGGAATCCATGAATGAGGATGATAAGATGGAGACTGAGAATCACGGGTTTAGTCAGGGGCCAGGATGTCTCTAGTCTTCCTTTTTGGCAAGAAAATCTCTGCAGAATTCTGTTTTAGTGCTAGGACTGTTGGGGGGTCCTTCTATTTCTCATACTTAGCTTCTCATCACAGGCAGAGGGTCAGGTGCTAGGGAGCTGTGCATTCAGTTTTCTCCTTGCCAGCCTCCACTTCACCCAGACCTCGGGGGGAAGTAAGAGTCTTTACTACTGCACAGAGTGTTGCAGGCATTTTCTGAGAAATGCTTGTCTTCCCACCACAAGTTATTCAGCTGGAAGATCCCATAGTCACTACTGCCATCTGCATTTTTTTCATTGAAGGCCTGGGTATTGAAGTTACTCTCATATCCAGCCAAGCAGACTGAATATGAGAAAAAGCAAAGGGTGTCAACAGAAAATGGAGAGTGGTCCATCATGAAAAGTCACTCAATCAGCCTTGGGAAGGAGGAAACTACTTGTGCTGTACTAGCATTGCCAAAATCGAAAGACTGTTTTTAAGACTGATATGAAAAAACTGTGAGACCCTCAATGTCAGAAGTCATTCATGATCCATTATGTATTCCCAGTCCTAAGCAATAATTAACCTATAGTAAGAATACAAAACCAATTAATTAAACAAATACATTTGAAATGATTAGTAATCAATTGATTGATCAACCAATCAGTCTTTCCCAGTCTACCTTTCCAGCTTCATCTCTCAGCCAAATATCTACTCTTGCTTTGTACATTCACTTTTGTTCAATGTTCCAAGGTACAGGCAAGAGAAAAGGTGGAAAGGTGTGGAGGAGAATCCTAGGGAGGACTACAGAAAAGCTATCCTTGGTGTTGACGAGAAAGACAAGGTTTGGCATGCAGAGAATGAAGAAAGATATTCAAGGGCAACTGAAATAATTTCATTCATTTTCATTAGTGAAATGGATGACTAAGATCCTCAGTCCTTCTTGCACTCTGGACATTGCCTTAACTTTATTCTCACCATTCCCATAAAACTCAACAGGGACACAAGTGGGAGACCCATAGACAAACTTAGCAAATGTAGGTTAGTTTTTGGCCAACAAATGGGCAGTGAGAGGGTGGCTTTCCACTGTGTTCAAGAGACATAGACTAAGTGTTCCAGAGATACAGACAAAGAAGAATGCAGGGCTAGGGGTGTATGTAGGTCAGCGGTAGAGTGTTTACCTGGCATGTCTGAGGTCCCTGGGTCTGATTCCCAGGACACACATATGTACACACACACACACACACACACACACAAAGAGAATATAGGTAAAAGCAAAGATGATGGCAGCAAAAAGGGAAGTAGTCAGGTCAGCCTATGGGTGTGTCCAAGGGAATATTCCAGGTCATGGGATGGGAAGATGATTTGGGGAAGAAGAAGAAGAAGGAGGAGGAGGAGGAGGAGGAGGAGGAGAAGAGGAAGAAGAAGAAGAAGAAGAAGAAGAAGAAGAAGAAGAAGAAGAAGA